GTGGTGGTGGTCGTGGTGGTGGTGGTGGTCGTGGTGGTGGTGGTGGTCGTGGTCGTGGTGGTCGTGGTCGTGGTCGCGAACGACGATATCCACCTCGTGTTCTACAGCGTGGTGGGCGCAGCAGGGTGGTGTGTGTGTGAATTATAGTTATAGCAGACTTACGCAGCATCTGCCGAACTCCCTCCTCCCTCACTCACCTGGGTCCGGTGGCAGGATAGAATCGGTGCGGCAGGAGGCGGGACGGGTGCTGTGTCTGGCGAGGTCAAACGACCCTTTTACACGAGCCACATGCGGCCCGGTTCCCCAGGCACGCACCGGGTTCTTCACCAAACAAAAGGGGACGGCTCAGACTCCATCGAAGCGGCTGAGGACCTGACGTTCTCAGCACCCAACCCCCTCCTAAGTACCTTCACTTACACTGGTACGGTCGGACATTTTCGCAGTCGCAGAAGCCGCCGCCGCCGCCATAACGACAAAACCATAGGAAGTACTACAAAGAACACTGCCAACTTCGGGCACTCTCTGCCCACCTGTCGGCACAGAGCAAACACGTTCTAGGCCTGAACCGTCCTGATTAGACACCTCCGCGTCCGCTTTCATACTGTCAACCCTACCTCTGGAATAAATCCCGTCGGTACAGTTCATAACACCAACTGCGGAGGCTTGAAACCTGCACCCAGAGAACTCGGTCCAACCGTGTGTGGTCAGATGCAGCCAGGCACCAACCACTACTTACATCGCCTCGTCACCAAATGCAACTTGATTCGTAGACCCGTGTCACCTGCTCCACGGGCCCATAAAATCCAACTACCCACAGCGATGATCCTCGGTCAGGCAACGGCGCGTCAAAGAATATGTAGAGCGCGAATTTGGCTAATCGGACACCCCTCCCAGTACACCGTAACACCGAACACCAAAATTCTCTATTCTTCAACCACCATTGGCTATGAAAGACGGACTGAACGACCGGGATTTTGACCGTCCACCGCGTGCTCCACAGGGTGACGTACGCGCAAATCAGTTTATAGTGATAGCAAACTTGCACAGCATTTGCCGAACTCTTTCCTCCCTCACTCACATGGAGCTGGTGACAGGACAAAGTCAGGACGACAGGAGGTTGGCTCGGGTGCTGCGTCTGGCAAAATCAAGCAACCCGTCTACGCGTCCCATGTGCGGGCCGGTCTCCTGGGCGTGCACCGGGTTCTTCACCGAGCAAGGCAAAGTCAGGACGACAGGAGGTGGGCTCGGGTGCAAACTCAAGCAACCCGTCTACACGTCCCACGTGCGGGCCGGTCTCCTAGGCGTGCGCCGGGTTCTTCACCGAGCAAATAGGGACGGCTCAGACCCGCCAAAGCGGAGTGCCACATCCAGAAGGTACCATTGGGACCCACTCTCCGTTCTGAGAAAACTGGTTAGTCCAGCCGATTGGCAGTTTTCTACGCCCAAACTTTTGGCGCGCCGTGGTAGTTTTAAAGTACGCCAGCCCTATTACAGTGAGGAATGATTTGAAGTGCCGCGAAAATGCGTCTCACAGTGTTGACCTCTCTCCCTCCCCTCTCCCATGTACTAGTTTGCGGCCCAAATCCGTCAACCACCTGGTGCTGGGATTGGGCGTAATTGGTTGGCCCGGCGTGTAGGCATGCCAACACATCCTCCCATGTGTGGAATTTGTTATGGGATGCGCGAACTACAGAGGGCATCACACAAGGTCATGGCGAGTAGAACTCACTATTTCGACAAAAACACGAGACACGGCAGATGGCTCAGAATTGGTAAGTTGTTAGTGAAATGAAATGGAAGGTTACAAGGTAGGACTGACGCTGATCACCGTTAAACCTTTCTTGTCAAGAGTGCCGACGACTGTTGTTTACTATGGCAGGTAATTCGCTGGATCGGGTGTTCTAGCCCGACCAGTACAAGCTGGGCAACTGGTTTTTCTCCAAAAAAGGCAATTGCATCAGCCAAAGGGGGTGAGAAAATAATACCCAGATTTAACAGACTTAGTGCGATCCTTAAATTCTAACACGTAGGACATTCCGCACGGCGGACCAGGGGGAAGTAGGAAGTAGCACAGACAGATGAACGCGTCCACAGAGGGGATCGCCCGATCGACTTAAGGCCGGGTGCACCACTGACTCGGTCCTATCTCATGCGCCCAGACGCGCAATGCGAGCCTACCTTTCAGTCCGGCAAGCAGCTTAGACATATGATGCGGATAACCGCGAGAGGAGCACTTGACTCGGCCAGTAATTCAGGTAAATAGAGCATTTCTTTTGACCAACTGCGGCAGGCAAGGAACTCGCAGAGCTATATTCTGCCCAAAAGTGGTCTACCTTGCAACATTCACAGAAACGTCGCTGAAAAAGCAAGCTCACATTAAGCGTCAGGTGGGCTGGCAAGCGTGTTCTCCGGCAAAATCAGTAGGTAGGCGTTCGTCCTCATTTACCTGCCGTATGAGTTGCTGGTAACCCATGGCCTCTCACAAAAAAATACTCTAATACCCGAATCTAATGTTTGATCCGCATAAGAAGAAGAAGACGACGACGACGAAGAGAGGAATGAGAAGAGGAAGAAGAAGAAGAAGAAGAAGAAGAAGAAGAAGAAGAAGAAGAGGAAGAAGAAGATGAAGAAGAAGAAGAAGAAGAAGAAGGAGAAGAAAAGGAAGAGGAAAAAGAGGAAGGGGAAGGGGAAGAGGAAAATGAAGAAGAAGGGGAATAGGAAGAAGAATCTAATGTTTTATCCGCATAAGAAGAAGAAGAAGACGACGACGACGACGACGAAGAAGAAGAAGAAGAAGAAGAAGAAGAAAAGGAAGAAGAAGAAGAAGAAGAAGAAGAAGAAGAAGAAGAGGAAGAGGAAGAGGAAAAAGAGGAAGGGGAAGGGGAAGAGGAAAATGAAGAAGGGGAATAGGAAGAAGAAGAGGAAGAAGAAGAAGAAGACTAAGAAGAAGAAGAAGAAGAAGAAGAAGGCTTAAATCTAAAGAATACTGTGAGTAAAAAAAAGTATGTATTATAGGTGAGTATGTCAGTCTTGCCTTAGTTTTGATCCAGTTTTCAATGGCCGTCTCGTTGCGGGCGATGCTGCGTAGCTGACAGTAGGCGAGACCGCCAACAGCCAGAATCACACCGAATGCCAGCCCAAGGGCCATCAGGACAACGAAGATTTCGTAGAAACTGAATATGATACCGACGTTATAGCCGCGTCTGAATAAAAAGTAGGCCTACAGCAGTAGGAACAGGAGAATCGGGTTTTATGATGCAGAACTTGCCTTCTAGAGCACTTAGGCAGATTGATTGTTACACAGAAATCGCCTTTTAGTGAGCAATCGGTACTCTGAGAACCTAAGCAGGGGGTCTCTATGGCAGAAGAAGCTCCAACTTTGCGGTGTAAAACATAAATTGCTAGTTAATTCGAGGGCGTCCAGAGGAATTTAAGAAACGGGGCGAGCTCTACACTATTCTTAAGCATGGAGCTTGGCAGTTTAAAGGGGCTACAACAGGAAATTCACACACACCTACCCGGGTAAATACAAAGTATACGTGCCAAATGCACAACGCGGAACAGTGTATACATCCGATTGGCGCCGATATGATAAAGTGGAGGAACATTCCGTGATTCAGGTGTCCCACACAGCAGTTGATCCAGGGGCAATGATGATCCATCTTGAGAACACAGCGTCCGCACTTAGAGCAGTGATGAGACCTCGGTGGTTTGTAACCTTCACACAGAGCGCAGTACTGTAGTTTTGCATGGTCATTGGCATTACGCTAGAGTAGTAAAAAACAGCGCAGTTATGGAGAGCATAAACAGTTACAGCATAGAACATAGTGCCAGGAGTGGACAACTTCTGTTTTGTGCTTTGGTTCTCATCCCTTCGCAACAGAAACGATACGCGCGGCTCATAGTACCGCAAACTTCTCAACGATCAACAGGCTCGTTAGGCCTGCTGTTATATGCCAATGGTTCCCAAAAAGCGGCGTAAGGTTGTATTAAATATCTCTTATAGACTGCACAGAAGTTTAAAACAGTGCGCCGTTGGGGGTTTCTGTCAGAGTATAAAGAGCGTTTTCATTTTAGGCAAAACTAGAAGTCTGTGTTAGCCTGAGAATGCGGTGGATGGAAATTTTTCGGTTACATGGGGCCTTATCGTGAGAAATAGTACCAACCAGTCTGATATGAAATGCGCAGTTTGGAATAATCAAGCTGTCTCCTTTACAGTAAATGCTTTTATGAATCACATTATTCTTCATACTATCTGCATAAAGCGTCTGCACGTTCATTAAAAAATAAATTATTCCTGCTGAGCGGTAGGATCACATGCACCCGTGCACAACGTGGTAGTTGCGACTATTGGTAATCCATGCAAATGGGGGTAAACATGTCCTCCAGCTGGTTCTGTGGGGCCTTCACAGTGAATATACTTAGGCAATTTACCAGTTTGAGAAGCCAAGTCAGATTACGCGTACATCCGATAAATGGGATAGTGAAGAAACCCTTATTGTCATGTATGACCTGCAGCAACAGGACAGAATCCCTCTAAAAAAGGTCTCTCTTAAAATTTGGACGGATGTCCTAGATGAGGAATGCCAGTTGGTTAGCAAATAATTCTGCTGCAAAGGAAGTCCACCGAACTCCGAATGTGTGCGTAGAGGCAAAAGTCGTGAGTCGAAAAATTTATCGTGATGGTTTCGCAGTAATTGGGGTCCGGGACTGAGGTTAGACCTTTGTTACAAGTAATACCACACGAAACAGATCGGAATCTGTAGGTGAAGACAGTCGTTTTGGCAACATTGTCATTCCAAACTATGTTGAGTATCAAGTAAGTAGCGCCCTAAAACACCTTTATGGTAGCTAAGAAATTGTTAGCACAGGCAAATATATGAAGTCTGATTATATCGTCCGCAACATGCGGAGCTGATAAAAAAAGCGTAAGCTATTTCGCTGTGTTTTATATTAGTTCAAAGAGGTTCATCCATAAAACAGCCGTCCAACGTGGTGTTTACGAGGCTCTGGCGTCACATCAAGTACAATCGGGCTCCGTACTGACATGAAGTAGCTTTTAGTTCGTGTCCGTCTATGTTTAGAGGTTAGCATTAGAGCCTGAACCACTGAGACTACATATGACTAGGAAATCTCAATGGAAAGTAAGAACGGGCAGGGCAACAAGTGTAGCAAGGGTTGCCGATTCCAGGTTTGTCTCCAACTCAGTCACTTTTCCCGACCTCATTGGTATCTATTCTGAAAACGAATGTTGCCTAGGCTGACAGTTGACCGCCATTTATACTTTTCTGTAGTCTCGAAGAAAAACCCCTGGCTCCATGTTGTCACCCTATTTTATTCCCTCGTGACAGGAGACAATTTCATTACAACAGACTATAATATGGCGACGCGCAGTAATACAAATGTAATAAGTAGTCACCAGAGGATTTGAGCATTCGGCAAACTTGTAGCTCAACTATCCCATGTATGGCGGCAGTCGCTTACAGTAAGGACCGGAGTTCCGTGGACGGAAGGAGTAACCGACCACCAGCTGATGTTGCAAGTTTTTAGACTTAACACACTAAACGATCTACGATTATGCTTGCCCGTTTACAGTGGCGTTTAACTCCGCTACCACTAGATCCGCTTACGTTGCAAAACCCCTTGGTCGTGGATAGTTTTATTACCCTCAACGCCGTCGCCGATTTTGAGCAATTTTAGAGAAGGTCTTATTTCTGTTTGGGAATAGTGGATTTCTATGCGCTTTGGTATAGAATACGCATCAACAAGGCCGACTCATAAAGAAGCAGTGGATGAGTGGTCAGCAACTCCAAGTGGGAATGACGTTCACTGATGTAGCATGATGGTAGAACGAGGTACCGGCGTTCTCTGGCCTCTACCGACAACGCTTTAGGTGAATTGAGTTATTTAAATGTGCAAATCTAGCCTTCATTCAGGGGATACCTAAATATAGGATTATTGTGAGCAACTCGCAAGTCAACCTCTTACCGAATTTTTCGTTACACTGTCTAGTGAACCCTGGCTTCTACACTTGCAGATAATCGCCAAAACGCCGGTAAATCATTAATTCAGCCATGAAGTTGCTGTCCTTCCCCGACTGGCAAAATGGAGGCGACATTTAACTACCAGCTAAACGCGAATCAAATACATTTTCGTGAAGAAAAAAATAAAGAGTCTTACAATGGCAGGAAGGGTAAAATTCTGATAACGGGGAGACAATTACCAAACTTATTTTGGTGGATTATGCAAGTGGTTGTTATGGACGGCAAACCCCTATAATATAACACCCGTCCTGGACAAGGCTTTACAGTTAATCTACGGCTAGTTTTGTGGTCGTCGACAGATCTGTAGTTCCTAGATGCAAAATCCGGCTTCAGGTGATAGGCTAAAGTTGTGCAAGTCAGCCAAACGGATAACTAGCTACACGCAAACACGCAAATCCGAGATGTAAGCGTTGCATCAGAAAGAGGTTAGTACACTGTTACTGGGTGACAAAGGTAAAAACAAAAAAATGCAACCAGTATTTGTCCATACGTACTGGTTTCCATGATAGTTTTGCAAATCCTGGACCAAACCAAGCGGCATATAAGTAGCCCCTCATGATGGCGATAAACTCTATGCAAATGAAGACTATATTTACTAGTCCAAATGCGCGGGATACTGGGCTAACTGTGGCTTGAATGCAGTATAAAGACATGATTGCGAGGAATATAACAATGCTCAATCCAATTATAGGTCCCCAATGCATCAGCCTGGAGAGTTTCGATGAAAACGTTCTGCAAACGGAGTCATTGAGTCGGAAATCATCATGTTGGTCCAATTTTCCCATGGCACTTGTGCGCGATCCAAAGAACGGGAAATCGGGGGGTGAAATCCGATTTCGTACTAATTATATGGCACATACAAACAAAGAACCGCAGTTCTGTTATGCTTGAGTTGGCATGCAGTCTCTCGTGAAAAAAGCATTTTCTTCTGAATTTGTTGTGGAGTACAAATCGGCGGTGTCAGCTTGATGAGCTTCCGAGTGCAGTGGAACACAGAGAAGGAGAACAGCGCTGTTCTGATAAGCGTCCATGAGGACCGTCAGAGCAAATAGAAGTACTGAAAAACTCTAAACGCGGAACGGCACATGAGGTATAAGGTTGCTGCTTATTTTCGCATACATTTCTACGTTGAGAGCATGGTCACTGACGTTTCGGAAGTTTCCGACAGGCAGTGCGTGTAAAAAAATTGTCCAATATAAATTCAAACGTCGCTCAGAATATCCGAGAATAAGTATTTCACATGGTTTGGAAGAAACCTGGGAAATGAGGACTTTTAATAAGAAAAGCTCTTTCACGAGCGGAGACAGACGTGATCGGTTACGGACGGCTGTGTTGATTTGACAGTTCAGGCGTCGGTTCCGACGATGTTCACAGTGCACCCATATTATGGCGTGTGCAGGGACGGTAATTTGCACATGAAATAAATTATAGGGTAACTACAACTGCGTTGACTCCACTTCACTCTCTTTTCCCTTACTCGCTTGGGTCCGGTGTCAAAACAGAGTCAAGAAGACTGGCGTCGAGATCAGGAGCTAGTGGCTGGAGCGGCGTGAACCTGCATACACACCCGACTAATACAAAAGGACCACAATTTAACGTAATTAGAAAGGGAATACGACTCGGATTCAAACTTAGTGGGAGTGTCAAAAATGCCATATCAAGAAGGTGCCATTGCAGTCTGAATCTCCGCCATATGAGGAGGACCGAGTCATCCTGTCAACGGGTAGTCTTCTAAGCCACGAATTTTAGTACACCGTGATATGTTCAATGTGTGCCACATTGTTTATAATTAAGAAAGGGTTGATGTTCTGAGAAGATAGAGTCCCAAAATCGAAGTCACTCACTCTCCCCTCTCACGTGCTTTGGTAGATTGTCCGAGCCGGCCAGCCAATTGATGCTAAGGTCGGGCTGACAGAGCTGTGTGGTCCGT